CTGCCACATCTTGGTGTTGAATGTTTATTTGTCAGGAGGTGGTCTAATTTGCTGTGTGTTGGCCTGAATGTGCAAGGTCCCCCTCCTCCTTAGGGCTCCTACCTACCCTACACCCCATCCAAGCACCACCCAACTGTAAAGCTCCATGGAAAAAAAAAAGGATCAGGCCCCTCACCATTTTTTTTTTCTCAGCAGAGCCTGCTCACATGAGCTGCCGCTGCGCCGTGCAGTACCTGAGCTGTGGGGAGGGGGGCAGTCCTTCCCTCTGCAGCAGTGGCACCGCCCCAGGGCCACCCAGGCAGAGTGCTGTCTATGTGGGTGCTGCCCCAGCTTGCAGGCAACACCCGCCAAATCCAACTTCTCCCCAAGCCCACTGTGGAGGGAAGGACTGGACCCCCCACTCCCCCCCTGCAACTCAGGGATTGCACAGCCCAGAGGCAGTTCACACGGACAGGCTCCACTGCGCGGGTAAAAAAAGTGGTGAGAGGCCCGATCCTTTTTTTTTTTTCTGTGCAGCCTGCCCACTTCTCCTGTGCATGGGAGGTGAGCTGCAGGGGGCCCTGGACCTTCCCTCCATAGCAGCGGCACCCCACAGCCAGTATCCACCCACTAGCAGCCCACCCAAGCAGCCCTGGGGGGCACCACTGCTGCAGAGGGAAGGACCAGGGCCCCCTGCAGCTCAGGAGCCACTCCACCTGCCTGCAGCTCATCCCTCGGTTGTGAAAGAGCTGGACAGGCTTCACAAGTAAAAAGAAAGAAGGATTGGGCCCCTCACCATAATAGTGACAGAAGCCCCTAAATTAAAACAGTGGGCTTTTAATCATCACAATTAAAAACCCACCATTTCAATTTAGGGGACTAAATCCCTGCCACGTGTACAAGTGGCCTAAAGGGGCAGACAGACGTGCAACTCCCCCACTGTAACTCATAGCACTTTGCAGGAAGCGCTATGAGTTAGAGCAATCCCCCAGGCTCAACAAACATTCACTGTTGGGTCCCAGGTTTTGGGGGACTCAGCTGCAATTAGAAGCAGCTGCAAGTCTGCAGCTGCTATCCCAGAGCTGTGCACCTCCCACTACCTAGGCTCAGTTCTGTCTTCAGAATGGGAGAAGGGGAACGGAGAGGAGGGGGTTCAGTCGGTGGGGGGGGAGGGGTTTGCTGGCACTGGAGGACTGAGCAGATGGATTGGAGCCGAGGGGGTTTCCCAGACTGAACTCCCTGCTCCTGGTGCATGCAGACAGACGTTAATGAAGGCACTCTGTTTTGCAGCATCTTCATCTGAACCTTTATGCAATGAGAATTCAGATTGTCACAGGATCGGGCCCTTTTAAAGCACTCTGCAGCTGTACACTTGTGTTTGGTCATAGCTGTAAAGCACTTTCAGGGGCCAGATTGGGCCAAACTTGTCACTTCTGTCTGTGCCTTAAGAGGGTGATTAAGCACTGGAACAGGCACCCTAGAGAGGTTGTGGAATCTCCATCCTTGGAAGTTTATAAGATCAGGTTAGCTGCACACTTGTCTGGGTTGGTTTAGACAGGAGTTTGGTCTAGATAGCCTCCTGAGGTCCCTTCCAGCCCTACTTTTCTATGATTTTATGAAATCTGCCTGCCGCAACCTAACAAGAGACCACCAAGCCTCCATAGCGCAGTTCTAGATTACAAACCACTGCTTTGTGAAACAGAGACAAAAAAAACCAAACAAACAAACAATTCAGGAGCTTAAACTCTGCAGAAGTCCAAACTCTGTATTTTGATTTTTGTTTCAATGAAGAGATACCCCATCTCCAATTTTCGTTAGTGTAGGTATTTGTTTGTAGGAACAGCACGTGCAATGGTTTCCTAAAAGTCAATGCCAACCTGTCATCAAAATAGTCAAACTATATTTTTCTGGATTAAAAAGTTGTGATTACTCAAAAGCTATTACTGTATATGATTCAACCATCAGCCTTGCATCGAGTCTAGAAAGATCCTATGTTAGGGCATGAAAGGGACAAATAAGAACTACCTCAAAAATGTGTGATAATAATGGTGGAAATAGAGCAGTGCAAGCACTCACATAGCTTGACTCCCTGCAAATGAACCTGAAAACTACACTGCTTCCATTGGATGACTTCTCTTGTCCAGGATATATGACCAGGCTGTGGATATCAGTCCCCTTTCCCAGCTAGGTCAATGCATGCTATTGGCTAGAACAGTGTCTGGAGACTTAAACTGAAAGAAAGCTGGCTCTTCCTCCAGTCCTCTTCTTACAAGATTGGCAGAGTTATCTCTTCTAGTGTCAGCTTGATAATTTGATTTTTCTGCTGTTTTAATTTCTTAATTGGATGAAATGAACCTACTGAATTGATCTTAATTGTGACTTTAATTTGATTCTTGTGTTGTTCCATTTAGTAAAGTAATAGTTAGGTCTGTTGTATGTTTGTTGACTCTTTTATAATAAAATCCATGAAAATGAGTAGGGCTGCTTTATTCCATCAAATCACAGCATAGGATGCAAGCACAGAGGGCACTGAGATCAGCTTTTAACCACTTATTGGTGGCCCCTTCCACCTCCTTGAAGGGGCTCCCTACAGTCTCCTCCACTGCTTCTTTATCCCCAACCTTGAATCCTCATTTGTTGCATAAGCTCTCCCTGCAGAGATAGCTCCTAACCACACACCCCATGCTGACCATAGCCTTAGGAGCTAACAAACTCAACATGTTTCACCCATTAGGACTGTGCCCTGAATTTTGACATGAATTAAAGAAACTGAGATAGACAGAATTTTTTACATTTTTTGTCAGTTTCCGCCGATGGAGACAAGATGTGGATACCCAAGGCAAACCCATTCTTTGGCATCAGTAGCATAACTAGGGTAGGGCAAGTGGGGCAGGAGCCCAGGGCATGTAAGGAGGCACCCTCAAAATAGAAGGCGATACCTTAAAGGTCCCTTCCACATGCCTCCTCCCTTCGACTCAATGCTTCTGAAACCCGGTGGGCACACTCACGTCCCACCCCTCCACCTGTGCAACACCTTGCAGCCCTGCATTACTCCTTTCTCTGCACCCCCTTCTGCAGTGCTTCAGCTGCTGTCACACGCTCACCTACACTACCATTTGATTCTGTAAATTGCCTCTTAGCATATGTTTCAGCAGCAGAGTGCATGAGATGGTAGCCCCCAGCAGAGCTGGTAGGGCTGGGGCTTGGTGGAGAGAAGGGGGATACCCCAGCCAATGAAGCACAAAGGGTTAGGGGAGAGCAAAAGTGCCCACAAGGTTTGCAGGGTGTAGGGCAGAGGTTGGCAACATTTTTTGGGCAGAGTACCAAAAACACTTGCAATCTTGACTTGTAAGATCTTGGCATGCCAGAGACAGACAGTTGGGGAGCCACAGGAGGCCTGATCCTTGTGGCAGCACAGCCCTGGCCTCTTCCCTGTCCATCTACTCCGAGACAAAATGCCTTCATGTACCATGCACTGGCACCTGTGCCAGGGGTTGCCTAAACCTGCTGTAGGGAGATCTTACCTGTTACCCTTCCACTCAGCATACAGAGCTTGCTTGCTCACAGGGGAATCAGTAGAAACACTGTGCCACAACCCAGCTCTGAAAAGATGGCCAGTATGCTGAAAGGGCAAGGGACTCCAAGAATCATGCATCATATCCTATTAGCATGCAGGCATGTGCTGCCACCTAAAAGGTGCAGAAAATCTTGCTGCTTTCTAACTAGGGTGCTCAGTGGCAAGCAAAGTACTCTGGCAAAGTTCTCAATCCACACCTGAACTCAGTATACTAAGAAACCTGCTTCTGCTTTTAAATTGATAGATTCAAATGGAACCATAGAACGTAACCAACTGAAGAGCTTCCCACACACAAACACCCTTCAAGCACTCCTGAGGTGCCCCACCCACTTCTGCTCCTTGCCATGTTGTGTGGATTTTGTTGAAGGAAAAGGTAAGGTCCCAAGGGGCACGGACAGCTTGCAAGAAACAGAAACAGGCTCAGAGAAATGGACTGAAACACTAGCATAGCGGTCTGCTCCATCCCATTCACCTTCTGCAGCTCACTGAAGGCTCCAATTCTGCTGAGCACCGCAGAAAGAAGTAGCAGAAAAGCACTGAAATATCTCTGGGGTGTACTTGGTAGCCACGTTGGTCTGAGACAAAAACATACAAAAACTATAGTTTTTTGTATGTCTTGAAATATCTCTAGTACCCTCTGCTGACCACCTATTGCAGCATTATCACTGAACCAGATATATATGCCATGGGTCAGGTTAGGAATGGGAGCAATTCAATCTTCCCAGTAAAGGAAGATCATAGGGTAGAGTATTCCAAGGGTAGCAGAGAGCAGTTTCTCCTGTGCTGCTGAAAGTCAGGTATGCAGTAAGCAGCAGCACGATCTAGTGGACTAGGACAGAAGCATTTGGTGTGGGCTGCAGCTAAGAGTAGGGATGTTGACTAGGATAGGCAGATGTCTCTGTTGGAACTAAAAAAACCTGGATTACTGATTAGAGGATCTTGCTTTTCAATTCAAGGTCAAACCAATCACTATATTTGGGGTCAGAAAAGCATTTTATCCCAGTCAAATAAGTATGGATTGTGGGGGGGTGTTGCCTTCCTCTGTAGCATGGGGCATGGTCCTCTTCCTGGGATCGTTCACGTGCGCCCCATAGTCGAGCAGGGGGGTTGCATAGATTTACAACGAAGTTAAACAAACGTATATAAATTGATTTACAAACAGATTCTTCCCCTGAGCAGGGGCTATGAAGGGTCCCCCCTTCCAGGCATGCTTTTCTAGGATTCTTTGACATAGGCCAGGAGGTGAATTTGGCAGGTCACCTCCTTTCTCTCCATCCATCAATTACGAGTATAGTCTACTTACACTGTAAACTCTGGAGGGCACGAACTGTCCTACACAGAAGTACAATGAGTGCTCCTTGCCCTGCCAATTTCATTCTCTTATTTCTCTCAATCTGTATGCAAGAAGAAAATGTGTTTAAAGGAGACAATGGCCCAGAGTAAATACAAGATCCCAGGACATTTATGGAACTGATTTTATTAAAAATAGAGCACTACTGGACTGCGCCTGAAATAATAGAATTGTTCTTCCATTTTATTTCAACAACAAAAATCCATAAGGAACTGGATTCAAGTTAACAGCTTCTCCTCGGTGGTTTTAGTAGTTTCAGGGTTCAAACCATTTTAATCTTCACATGGAGACAGGATCAGTAAGATTGACAGCCACAGCTGTGATATTTCAGAGGTAGCTCCAGAACAGTTTGCTTACATTTAACACTTTCTAAAAAAAATATGGAGTTCGATACAATTTTTAAACATACAGTATGAGTGGTACCAACATAAACTTAAATAAAAAAAAAAAAAGTTGTATGCAGACACACAGGAGCACTGTGTGACCTTGAGTCAGCTGCAAGGACAATAACCATTTTTCCATACTTCAAGCTAGGCTCCTGTTCTCAAAGTCAAATGTTTAACATAATCATTTTCCAGATCCATTCCACAGGTGAAGTCTGACCTTGGCACCATGCTTCTTAAAAGGGAAAAGCAACCACTGTCCATTTTGTGTTTTCATGTACCCAGCCTCCTCTTTGCAGCTCTTCTGTATTCATATACTATCCAGCTTCTTTAAGATGTAAGGAGCTGAAAGAGACAGGACAGCCAAGATATAAACTAAGTGCAAATGAGCAGGTTTATAAACAGCTGCAAGCCCTGGGCTGTGCGCGCACTGCAACCACAGCCCGTGGGGCAGGACCTATCTGAGCAGTGCTGCCAGGTGTACAATAATTATCATATCTGTATGATCATTCCAACCCTTGTACGATGTATGATCACTAACTGTTCAACACGCACGATAATTTTGAGGCAGCTCATCGATGCAGCACACGTAAAACCCACGTCACTCTCAAGGAGTCTAAACTGACTTTTGGGTGTGCTGCCAACCCTTTCTTGTGAGCTCACCTCAAAATAAAGAAATGCTTCAACTTGCACGACCCCGATCTCACTTGCTCACTGGCCACATACAGTGACCGATATGGAATCAGTGGGAAGAGGCTTATTGGCAAGGTATTTTCAGCAAACACGATCATTTGGGGACTTCCAATACGATCGTTTCGTACTTAACACCTGGCTGCGCTGCACAGGAGTTGCCCGGGCCGGGGGGGCTGCAGCCCCACGCCGAGCCCCGCGCACGTGGCCGCGCCGCCCCTTACCGACGCGCAGCAGCGCCACATAGATGAGGAAGTTGCGGACTGAGGTGAGCACATCGCGCCGCATCTTCCGCTTCAGCTCCTCCGGGTCCATCTTGGGCCCCAGCCCCTCGATGCGGAACATGCTGCTGGCGGCGGCGGAATCGCGCCGGGTCACACAACTCCAGCTCAGCAGCGCGGAGCTTCCTTCCGGGGCTGAGGCACGGCCCCGCCCACCGGCTACGGACACCGAGAAGGGACACGCCCCCCGCCCTTCGCGCCTGACGCAGGGCGGGGCAGGGCTGGGGCGTGACGGGGTCAGAACGCCGCCAACAGCGAGCATGCGCGTTAGTGTAGTGAGGCCGCTGCCCTCACCCAGAGTGGGGCGGGGTTGCGTGGTGACGTTCCCGGGTGGGGGCTTGGGCAGCGTGCGCCCTGCCACTGCGCCCGCGGGGCGTCTGCAGGTGGGCTGTGTCCTGGGCTGCACGTGGGGCACTTTGATGCGCAGGGAGGAGCGCCAGGCCCGCGCCCCAGCATTAGTACTAGCTCTGGGGCGGGGAGGGCCATTCTTGGTGCCCCAGAGCCAGTCCAGTCGCTCTGCAGTACAAAAGCCTTGCCCCTTTATTTGGCTGAACAGGCTTGCAGGAGGTGCCTGCAGTAAGGCAGCTTGCGGCCTGGCTCATAACGTCCAACTCCCGTCACCCTTGAGTTATGGCCACCTGATGTGCAAGAATTGGTGGGTTTAGGCAGATCCATGAAACGGGGCTGTGTAGACGCTCCTGGTCAAAGTCAGGCTCGTCTGGGGTTAGTTTAACTCAAGGAGGAACTGGCGTGCTCTGCCCTGAAAGGCATGTAGGAGCTAAACGAGCATGTGCCCCTGGGCCTGTGCTGGCTTTAGGAGTTAAGAAGGTTACAAAGTGGTTTAAACTAGGGTTAGATTTACACTTTGACTCTTCGGGGGGGGGTCTGCAAAAAAAAGTCTGGTTCATCGATTAAGAAGTATACCTATGTGAAGGAGCAAACCGATCAGAGCCGCCCTACCCCCTTCCCCAGGTTATGGTTTTGAAATCTTAAAGGGGGTTCTCGGCTTGCCCCCCCTCCGCCGCTCCCTCTTAATTTGCACCCTGGTTTAAACGTGCTCGGGAGCTTCCATCCTGTCGTCAGGTTGGGCCTGAGTCTCTGTCTGCACCCCAAAGACCTACCAGTACAACTGTGTACATTCAGTACAACCTGGTACAGCTTGCCCCAGTATGGATGCAGCTCTGCAGCAGATGGCTTCGGCCTCTGGAGCTTCTGCCATTCAAGGGAGCTGGTGGCAAGAAAAGGTCTTTCCAGCATCAGAGCTGCAGCTGTCTCAAGGTACCCAGCTGCTGTAGTGACAAAAACAATGTAAAAGAGTAAAGGAAAGAAAGCGAGAACCCAAGGATGTGGTAACAGTCAAAGAAAGGGACCGGAGAAGAGGATGAGGGTGGGAACTCGTAAGGTCATGTGTTGGCCAGTCCATTGCAAAGAAGGCTCAGAAAAAACATTGACAACCTATTGGTCAATGTTTTGGACCATTGCAGTCATTATTTAGTTATGGGAATATTTCATCTCTGCTTGCACCCAGCTTCTGATCTGGCATGGACCTCTGCATTTTGTGACACAACAGTGAAGACCGTGAAGAGAAGGAATACACGTGCCAAATGGATCTGTTTCAAGGGTACAGTAACATGTCTCTAGCATGTGGGACTTTTGACCTAATGGCAGTGCTGCTGTTGCAGTGAATTCTTCTTTCTCAAGATGCAGTCAGCATAGCTGGTGATTTCTTCAGTGTGTTTGGCTGCACCCTCCATTCCCACACAGGATGATAGTCAGCTCTGGAGTGAATTCAAGGCAGTAATTCACCTCAGGGATGCTGCCCAAGCTGTGTTCTCATTGCTTCTGGTATCAGCAGTTTACACAGAGCCTAGAGACTAAGTTCAGCTGCACATTCACACTGGGGCAATTAGTTGTTATCTATAATTCATTCTCATTCCCTGGAATGGGAATGCTGCAGAGGCAAAACACAGAGCCCCAGGGAGCTGGGGGGGAGTATGTTACTTTTCCAGCCTGTGCTTCAGCTCATACCAGCCTCTATTTCCTTCAGAACTAAGAGGGTGGGTCAGCATGGCATTGAGCCCTTGAGGGAATGGCAGAGTGACAACATGGTTATAGTATTAATTTAACTTCCCCTTTTAGACAAGATCAGTGAGAGGCTGTTATAGTTCTGCTGGAAAATGACCTAACCCCAGGTTCTTCCGCAGCATAGCCTTGTTGTTTTTTTAAGCACAAGGCTGTGAATTTCTAATGTTTGAGAGGAAATACCTACCATTAAGGATAATTTTTCACTTCCTTCGTATCATTGCTTTCAGCTTTTGCAGGACCCAGAGCATATCTTTTATTAAAACAACCAGGCTTTCCATGCTCTGTCTAATTTAATATAAAATTATCTTGTAACTCAGTTTATTCCTAGAGGAAACAGAAGCTGAAGTCACAGCATGTTCTGTTAACTTGTACAGCACCTACACAGCACTTCACAGCCCCTCTCTCTGCTTGAATGGCTCACAAGCCAGAACAGAGAGATTCAGACACTGAAGCATGGGCAAATTTTAGCCCTGGTGAGAGGTGTAATTTCTAATGACATCAATGGGAGTTTAATCTGTTTACACTAGCAGTGGGTTTAAGTCACGTGGTATATAATCCTTGACAATGGTGATTGTTCCCATGAGCAAGTGTGTGAAGGGGTGTTTCAGAATCTAAGGAGTCTATCCCTGCTCCACTCCAGTCTGGGCTTCCTTCCCCAACAGAAGAGTCCTTGATTGTCAGCAGGGATCCTAGTTTTCTCAGATTTAAAAAAAATCCCTAGTTGTCGGTTTAAAAAAAGTAACCCAAAAAATCCACATTTGTCCATGATTAGAGTGAAACACCACTAATATATCTATATATATATATAGAGAGAGAGAGAGAGAAAGATAGTAATGTTTCAGTTTAATCATGGACAAATGTGGATTTTGGGTTACTCTTTTATATCTGAAAATTGGGGATTTTTTTAAATCGGAGAAACCCAGGATCCCTGTTTATCAGACTGTGACTGCAGTGTCACTGACAAGAGCAGAGCAAGATGAAGGGCAGAAATGGGATCTTGGGGGATCGTTTGTAGCAAGTACCTACAGCCACAGATGCTAATTTAAATCTCATGTTGTTATAGGAAGTGTCTGAAATATGGAACAGGCTATTTCACTTTTAGTCCCAAGTCTGGAATGCTGTGGTAAGGGTGGGTACCAGCAGGGGCAACTCCTGACTGTACACACTGATGGTGCAGAATCCAGTGAGCTCCTCTGCCTTGGTGGTAAAGCTGAGAGATGTTCCACTGGGGTTCACAGGCTACCAGTTGACTAAGATGTGACTACTGGCTATGGGTGATCACAAAAAAAATTCTGTTCACCATAGCAAGAGAAGAGGGATCATTCTTGAGCGCCCCTGTGGAATCTGAAATCCCAAATTGTTACTGTTCCTTTTGGTTTATGAAGCTAAACTCACTCCTCATGTCCCAGAAGTGCCTGTGGTGATGGAAACTATGTAGGTGTCTGGTCCAAGGGCATGATAAGGCTCCCAGAGGCATTCCACAACATAGATTTGTAAAGCTGGGTGGGGTTACCTCCTGGTGCCATTCTGCACCCACCCAGGCAAGCATCCACGTGTTTTAAGGGTTCAGCCAGGACAGAAGTGGATCTGGCTGAGGATCAGCCCTGAGGGACAGCACGATGGGCCCACAGATTACCAAATCTTCAGGTCATGGTCTAGCTCAGCAGAATGTGGGACCCAGTTTTAGGGAAGCTGAGAGGGGAGATCCAAGAGATGTAGTCCAAGATGTAAGCCAAGGTCAGGAGCCAGAGGTCAGAGCGCCATTGCCAAGTTGCAAGGAAAATCCAAGATCAGGGTCAAGGAAGCCAAGCTGAGTCAGGATGCAGGGAAAACCAGAGAAAGAAGAGCCAGTGCTAAGTTTCAGGGGAAATCCAAGATCAGGGCCAGGAAAGCCACAGCTAGGGTCAGAAGTCAGATGAACAAGGGAGAGCTGTGAACACAAGGCTTGCTGGAAAAGACTCAGGCTGTCAGAGTATGCCTGCAGCCTCAGGCTGCACATGTGCTTATTAAGAGGCGAGTGGCAGTTTTGTGAGCCAATCTGGCTGCAGAAAACTGGGGCAGTTGCATTAGACAGGGATCAGGGGTAGGTGTGGTAGCTTAGGTGCTTAGCCCAGCCAGGCACCTTGATCAGAGGTCCTGACACCTGTACCAACTGGAAACTTTGTTTCTGTATGCCAGCTCTGGCCTATCAGCAAGGCAGCTCCCTAGATATCTGTAGGGATGGGCCCAACAGAATACACTTCCAAGCCCAGCTGGCAAGCTTAAAACTAACAATAGAAGGTTTATTTCCACACATTGTGGAATTAACTTGTGGGACGCCTTGCTACAGCATGTTGTACAAATTGACAGTGTAACCAGGGTCAAAGAGGACTGGAAAAATTCAAACAAGAGAGGTCCATCGGTGGATATTAAACATAACGGTCATGGGCACAAACTCCAAGTTAGGACTCTTTGGGCCTCTGAATGTAGGATGCTATTAGGCAAGAGGGGCAAGGGACAGATTGGTTTGGATAAGCCCTACAAAAATGCTCTTCCTTTTACCACTGTAAATAAAGCATATGGGGCAAGATTGACCTGTGGTCTGACCTAGTGTAGCAGCTCTCTATGATCGTATACATTGGTTCTTTCCCATCTTGAGATTCTGGGAGCTTTTGCCTACCACCGCTTCTGTGGCTAAAGACATGTCCTGACGATACTGACAGTTCCAGTCACCATATGCAGAAGGATTTAGCATCTTTACAAGCTCTGGGCAAGATACTGCTTTCATCATCAATGCAGGATTCCTCTTGGCTATGTTGCCTTTAAGCCTCCTGTCTGCTGTATGTTGTACAATATTTGTCAAAGGCATTAACTTAGTGGGCAAGCCAGCCACCCATAATGCCAGGTGCTGATGGGCCGATTAATGCAATTAGGGGAACCTTCTGTCAGAATTTTGCAAGAGATACTATTTGCAGGAGATAATTATTTTGAGATATATATAATGATAAAGAGATTATAAAGATATATTATATATAATGATCATCCTGAGTAATAGAACACCAGCGGGGAGCACTCTGCCTGCCTTTGCTGCTGTACCAAAAGAGAA